GGGGAGGAATCATTTGAACCTCAACCTGTTATTTTGCCTACGGGGCCGTGCTAAAGGGCACTTTTTATATCTTGAGTTTAAAAGAGCTAGGGAAAGTGGTTGTAAAGAGAACGGGTTTGGTCTGCTCTGCTCACGACTAACTGCTTCTTGAGAGAAGCCGGCAGAAGGCTCACTATGGCCTGGGTTGGATAAGGTCAGTTTACAGTGTCTTCTGATTGTTTTCAGAGACTCGGACTGTATTAAGCAGGTGCCACTGACAACATTTCAGATCGTGTTATCGAGGAGCACTGAATGAGTTTGTTCTGCTCAGGGAGGCTCTGTGCACAATGCTTTGTTTCTCAAAACTGTCTTGTTTGTTTTGGGATGCAGCCAGGCCTCTAATGTGGGTGGTGTGTGCTGTGTCACAAACCTCAGGCCCCAAAGCCTGAACTTGGCTTTGTCTGTTAGATCAGATGAGTTGCAGGAAACAGGCGGCGAGCACTTGGGGCAAACTTAAAAGTGATGTGTGTGAGCCTGTGCAGGCAGAGCCTTCGGGCAGATGTCTTTGAAATGTGGGAATCTGGGAGACATGAAGACAGAACAACAGAAGAGGACAGGTAAGGGACTTCTGGGTTTTCTGAAATAGCTTCATTTGGTTGCACTTGGAAACCTGGTTAGCATTTCATGGGCTGGCTGGGGGCCTCCTGCCCTCTTTTCGGTGTGTGTATATGTGGATTGATTTTTGGATATTGATAATGTACTTAGAGTATTGCAACAAAAATGCCACTGTTTGACTTTTTAAGTAAAAATATAGATTTTTTTTAAAACTTCTGCCCTACTATTAAAAACCTACTACTATTCAGCTCTCTAAGTAGGAAAAACAAGCACATAAAACTCCTAAAGGAATCGCTTTTCTTTGTGATCTTTTATTAAATCCAATGTAAGATGTAGGCTTTATTTAAAATGAAATCTACCATAAAATGTGAAACAGAAACCATGGAAGAATATAACTATACCTTTGGACTTCTNCACACACACACACACACACACACACACACACACAGGCGCACCTCTATTTGCATGAAAAATGGATAGCAAACACATCTTGAAGGGCAAACAGAAGGCATAATACAATCGAATAAGAGGTTGAATATAAATTGGAACAAGTCTTAACTTTTTATTTCACTTTCATTTGGATACTTTTACTAATTCTCTTTGTGGGTTTAGGCTTTTCAAACATTCTTTGGCTCTGGGAGAGGGAGTTGTATAACCATAAAACTTGAGAATCCTGGCCCTAGAATAAATGTTCCTTTAAAAACCCCAAGGACAGAAAATTGAACACAGCTGTGCAAAAGAAAAAGACAAAAAGCAGAGGGATGGTTCAGGGCTGCGGGCGCCCTGACCAGCTTTCCCCAAGTGCACTGGGGCTGTGGTTTCTTGATGGGCGATGGAGAGCTTCGGTGGTCTCTTTGAAAGTGCAGGAAAAGGCCAAGACCTTCCTCCAGAGCTGGATGTTTCTGTGATGTGGGGAAGACAACATTCTGACTGGATTTGTTTTTCATGGTCTTGCTTGTCCTGTGTGCATAGTCCATTGTTTTCCCCTGGAGAGAATTGAGGGTTTTAGTCATTTTCTGCGCTGCCATGATTCTGCAAACCTTACAGTTCCTACTTAACAACTAAGCTTCAGAGCCGAAGCAGTTTCCAAATGCAGAAGATAGAAGAGGCAAGAGTTTTGAGCCCCCAATTTCCACTCTTCTGCCCCCGTCAGTCACAGAATGTCCCTCAGAATAAACAGCTTTAAAGGGTAATCCTGAGAACATGGTACCGTGGTTCCTTGCTTCTCCTCCCCTGGGATGCAAACCCTGCTGTCGCCTGTGTGATGCTGGCCTGCTGGGCCCCGCTGTTTGGTTAGCAGCCCAGGAGGAACCATCGCCGTGGACCTGAACCTCTGTGCAGCCTGGGATTAATCACTTTGCTCTGTGTCAGACCGTGTAATGATGATTCATACTTCTTCCTCTGCAAGATTAGATTACTGTACTTTTCATATCCTGGACTGCCCACTAGGGATTTGAATTAATACTTGTTGGTATAGAAGGCTGTGTCGTGTTTCTGGGGGGAAAGGATGCAACTTGCCCATTTGGCCATCATCAGAAAACGTTTAGGGAGGACCTGTTGTGAGCCTGGCTGTGGAAAGGAATCCTGCCTTTAGGGTTTGCCACGTCAAGTAGCGTACCTTAGAGGCTACAGGCAGAGTCTGTGCAGGCACTTGGTCCAGGTACAGTGGTTGCCTAAGTGATGCCATGCCTAGAAGATGAGAAGGCACGGAGGGATTTGCCAGGGACTCCTATATTGAAATCAGGCACTGCTTAATGAGGAAAATCTCCCCCAAAGAGGTACTTGAGAAGGAAGAAAATGAATTCAAGTTTGTGGAACAGCCTACATTGAAACTAGCAGGGACTGTGGTCACAGATTGCAGAGTGGTGGGAGCAACGATAGGGAAAGTAGCCTTTGAAAAAAAAACTCTTTATGTTTTTGGCACTATCCCTGTAAAATATGTGTTATTCATTCTATTCCTTCAACAGTTATTTACTGAGCACTTCCTATGTGCTAGGCATGGTTCTGTGCACTGTAAATTCACACCAGTCTACAGACAGACAAAAATCTCTGTCCACATGGAACTCGCATTCTCAGGGTAGTGGCACGGGCGTAAGAGTGTGGGCTGAGGAAAGCCACAATGAGGATTACCTGGAAGAACTCGTAAATAAGTGCAGTTGTTTGAGGATATGTTTGTGTATATATTTCCTTTCTCCCCTCTGACACAATGTACATTCTCTGCTACCGCTAAGTTCATATTTTCAGGGGATCCTCTGCAGGGAATGCTTCAGACATGCTAATAAATAGCCCACTCTAGTATAACGTGTCCATGAGGTAACTTCAGGGTCTCTGAAGTTACCTGCTATATAGACTGACTGAGTCTGTGTTACAGGGACGCTGAGGCATGGTCAAGTGTTTTTAATCTTTGTTTACTCTCCTGCTGTATAATACTTCTCATTCCAGAATGCCTTGTGTTAACATACTTCTCTCTCCTTGGAATACCTTCCTTTCTTTATTTCCTCCTTTTCTCTCTCCTAGTTCTTTCCATTTTTTCTTTGGTGAATATGAGATGGCAGCATTTTGCCCCCAAAATACAGAACCTCAGTTTTTTTTAGAACTCGAGAGGACTATGGGAGTCTTCATCTAGTTTTGTGATTTTTTTATCTCTGGACTGAAACCAAGTTTTCACCTGATGCAGTGCAATGAGAAGTATAAGAAAATGAAATAAATGTTTATAAAGCTAAACTTTAGGGGCTACCGGTTGGCTCAGTTGGTTAGAGCACAGTGCTCGTAACACCAAAGTTGCTGATTCAATTCCCACATGGGCCAGTGGGCTGCGCCCTCCACAACTAGATTGAAAACAATGAGGACTTGGAGCTGATGGGTCCTGGAAAAACACACTGTTCCCCAATAAAGTTTAAAACATTTTTTAAAAAGCTAAACTTTATCAATTGATTCCTGTATCTTTCCATTTCTTTCCTTTAACTTTTTAAGAAAGATCTTCCACCTGCCCCAGAAATTGCTCATCCCCCTGAACTCAGCCCTCCATCCCTCACCATACAGCTGACATCACCCCCTACTCTGCTCTCCCACATTTTGGTTCTCAGACAGTGCTTTCCTCCTCAGTTTTGTAGCCCCTACCCCAAAACAAGAGCCACTGCTTAAACCTTAGGGTAGGAAGTCACCATTTGTGCTGCCAGGGAGCTGTGTTTTAGGATGCCCAGTTAGAGCCACAAATCCATTTTAAGCTGTAACACACAGTGGTTCCGTTTTATAGAATTATTGGTACTGCGGTTCCACTTTATTACAGGTTTATCTGGCTTTTGTGGGTTGGCCCAAGTGTGCAGCCATCACTTATAACTGTGTTTCTGGAGGAAAATGAAAACGAACTTTGCAGCGGGACCCATATTGAGCTGGAGAGTGCATGCAGTGTGATTCTAACCAAGGGTGTGTGGGGCTTCTTGGTCTGTGGAGACTGGGAGAGAAAGCTGCCCCGTCCTCCCTGTTGCCAGGGTAGCTCTGAGGTCCAGACATTGCTCCTGGCTCTCCTTTGTAGCACAGTATGGATGTTTGCTTTTTCACAGCACCCCTTAAGAAGAACCTTAGGTACTTCGTATTTTTCACTCAGGAGTAAGAATTGTCCTTTCCCTCTTGGTGTTTGGAAACAGCAGAGGAAACCACTTATGGTACAAAGCTTTGTGAAGTCAACAACAGCATGGATAAGAGAGAGCCAGCATTGCTTTAAACTCATATTCCCACTTGAGAAACCACCTCTGTGGTTCTGCCATGTGACGAATTGACAAAAATCTTATAGTTTTAGATACATAGTGGCCAAAATGGATCATGTCACACTTGTACATCTCCAGTTACTCAGAGGTCTCTGAGCCTGGCGTCCAGGAATGTGATGTTGGTCCAGCCATGTGAGAGGCTGTGTCCCTGGGGCCAGAACTCATAAACACAGCCCAGGCTCCCCCTTGGCAAACTCACATTGCATTTTGACCGTGAGACCAGCAGTTCTGTTCACGCTGAGCGCTGCTACACACCCATTGCTCTTGAAGCAGCAGCCTGGGAGACAAGAATTGGCTTGCTCATCTGTTGTTAAAGCCAGTGACCTACGCATGACCTTGGTGCTTGAAAGATTGTCATCCAAAGCCAGCGAAGTTCTCCATAAGCTTTGAGAGAGGCAGACAGATAGAGAGACAGACTCATTGCTTGACTGACTGAGGTAGAGTATCTGGGACAGGGAGATTTCTTTTTTGTTGCAAAATATTGTTAACTAAAAATAATAGCTCCTTCTTTTTGCCTAAAAAAAAATCTATGCAAGAATGAAATTTTTTGTTCTCATAGTGGTATACCAGTGTAGCTGTTAGGAGACTAAGGCATGTCCCTGTCTTCCCTCATAGATGTCATGATCCTAAGTTCATGGAAAATGAAAAAGAAATTATTCCAAGTATAGTGCTGTCATAGCAGAAATTAGGGACATAGATCCTGCTTGCCTAGTGCTTTTCTCCCCTGTAAATGAGCAGCTTAAAAAGATACTTCTAATGATTGCTCGAGTTCACTGCCATTTAGAAAGCAGAGATTTTCCGAAGGCAGAAGCACTTAGAGAGCCATGCTGTATTGCTTTCCCTGCACTGACAGTTCTGGCCAACGCTCTGACGTCATCCTTGCTCAGAACTAGGTGCTTCGTGGAGGAAAAATGGAGAGTGAGGAGGCCCTTGCCCCAAAGCACTCAAGCCGGCTGTATCTATTCCATTTTCTGCCTATAAAGTGAGGAACCAATTTGTCACTCTTGTCACTCTCCAACTTCAGAGTATTACGTATTGATTAATCAAACCTAGAGAAACTAGGAGAATGTGGTTGCTGTACTAAAATGAGAAAAAGAGAACTGACTGCAAGCTATTTTTATTCTATTTTCAGTCTTCATTTCACCAGTATTTATTACAGTGGCACATGTTGCTGGGTTCTGTGGATACAGAGACAAGATGGAGTCCCTGGCTCCTGCATGCTAACAGGGTACAGG